CGGGCGCCCCTGCCCTGCGCTCCCCCTGCACCCCGGGCGCCCCTGCCCTGCGCTCCCCCTGCACCCCGGCCCCGCCGCCCTTCCCACCCCTCACGGCGCGAAGCTCGCGTGGGGAGGACCCGGCCCCCGCGGCACGGGAAGCCTCATCGTCTGGACGCACGGCCTGCGGCCCGCCGGGCACACCGGGCGAGGGTCTTCGTTCGCAGTCGCCCGAGTCGGGAGCGCCGGGGAGCTGAGGGCGCAGGGCTGTTACAGGGGCCTGGCACACCCTCCGGGGCGCCGCGGGCGGGCGGGGGCCTCTCTCCGCTGGGGTGGAGCCGGCCGCCTCCATCCCCGCCTGCCTCCAGCCCCTCTGCCTTCGGCGGCAGCGCAAGCCCTGCGGGACCCGGGGCACGGGCAGGCGGCAGGCGTAGGCGACAGCTTCGCCCCAGGGCGACGTCCCTCGTCCTGTTTGTCAGGAGTTCCTCGAGGGTTAAAAGCAAACCGCCCAGGGAAAGCCTGTGGCCCCTGGGAGCCCCGCACAGTCGTCCTCAAAGGCGCGAGGGCCGTGCGGGAGGCAGCCGGCCGCGGCGGTGACAGCTGTGAGCAGAGGAAGGAGAGGCAGCACGGGTCTACAGGACGCGCGCTGAGGGCGCCGGGTAAGGGCAGCACGCCCTCCTGGAGGAGCCCGCGGCCGGCACCACGGACAGAAGCAGCGCGCCCTCCCAGCAAGGACACCACCTGACCCCTCGCTCAGCTCAGGAGAGCAGCGCTTTTCCTCCCGGCACCCAGACAGCCACACACAGCCGGGCCTGGCCCCAAGGGGCTTTGAGCTGCACTTCAGATTAAAGGACACACCCTTTGGACACAGGCAGCAAAGGCCAGAAACCCACGGGCGGGCAGCTGAGAGTCAGCTTCCCCACTGCGGGTGGGTCAAATAAGAGGGCTCCAGCAGGTCCTGCAGGGCTCAACAGCAGCGTCAGAGATGGACAAAGGACACACATGTGCAGGTACTAAACCAGGCGTGGTGATGCACACCTGTAATCCCAGCTCTCTGGGAGGCTGAGGCAGGAGGATCCCAAATTCAAGCCCAGCTCTGGCAACCTAGTGACTTAGTGAGACCCTGTCTCTAAATAAATAAATAAATAAATAAATTTTAAAAGGAAAGGCCTGGGGATGTAGCTCATTGTGAAGGCCCTGGGTTCAATACCCAGTGCAGCAAAGAGAAGAAAGAAGTGAGGCCCTGAGATGGACCAGAGGGTGAAGGCTGTGCTGAGCACGTGTGGGGCCCCTTGGCCTGGGCTGGAGGAAGTGGGGTCCGTGCACTGGTAGGCGAGCAGCCTCTGCAGAGACGTGGGAGACCCTGGGAGCAGGTGGGGGCTCGGAGACGGAACCCTGCGTTCACCCAGGAGGGGGCCGCGGCTGGGGGAACCCGACGAGGGCACCGGAAGCAGGGCAGCGCGGGGTGCCGGGCTCACCGCCAGCCCACTCCAGGGGAAGGAGCTGGGTGGAGGCACCAGCCGCCAGGCTGCGTGGTGCCAGCTCTGTGTGTGCACATGCGTGTGCGTGCACGTGGGTGTGTATGCGGGCTGTGCATGGAAGACAGTCGTCAGGAAATGCTCATCCTAGCCGCAGTGCACCCCACTGCACCCCTTCAGGACGGATGTTTCCAGAACCAGCTGAACGCTGGCGGGGAAGTGGACAGCAAGCTCTCCTGTCGCCCGCCGTGGGGACATGAGCAGACGGAGGGGCCTCAGCACCTTAGGGCAGAACTAGCTGCCCCCAGCCGGCTCCCCCACTGAGGGTGTCCCCGGTGGGAACAAAGTCCACACACAAAATGGAGCCCTGCACGCCCGCGGGTGGACGGACGGCCCAGGGCCTCCGACAGGCCAGTGGAGGAAGAAAGCGGCCAAGCACCGTGGAATAGCATTCAGCCGTAAAGAAGGTGAAGACCTGCCGGTTACAGCAAACGGAGGTGGAGGCCATCAGGGAAATAAGCCAGACATGAAAGACAGGCATCCTGTGCTCCCGCTCCTGTGCAGGGGCGAGAGAAAGCCGACCTCAAAGCAGAGCAGTGATCACAGAGCCTGGAGAGGGGGGTGGGGGTGCTGACTCGATCGGCACAGTGTGCCGGTGGGCGGGGAAACACGGTGAGTGGCTACATTTGGACGTGTATTAGGGCAAGAAGCCTCCGCGTGTTTCCCGTCAGGGTCCTCGCCTCGCTTCAAACACACCTGTCCCGTCCTGCTGAAAGGAGTGTCAGAGGGCACCCGTGGCAACGCCTGTCACTTGAATACATTTTTTAACTTCACCACCGTATTTTCTACCACCTCTTGTATTGAGAATTTTAAAAGCATAAGAAACAGAACATGAAGCCAGTGTGGGAGCGCTGCGGCGGAGGGAAGGCCCTAGGGCCGGGCACCGAGCTGAGGCTGGAGCCGCGGCCGCACGCCCGCCGCAGGCTGCTTGGCTTCTATGTGGGGAGCAGCCTCGGGGGTTGGCGCCCACACACGGCACTGCTTCACTCTGTCCCTTTCCACCCGGCCCTCCGCCCTTTGGGGAAGACCCCCCTGCTGCCGCCTGCTGTCATTTCCTTTGCTCTGTACATACACGCTGTTTCTCATGTAAGGGAAACCGTGTGATATATGAGCTGTGGTCCAGTTTAATTCACCCACAGGATGGTCCCCAGCTGCACCCACTGTCTGGCTTTTTAACACCAAAGCCCTGCGAGCACAGGGCCAAGGGAGAGCAGACGCGGTGGGACAGAGAGGAGCCGCTGTCAGCGCCCCTGCCCAGCTCCCCGCAGCGGGGGCTCGAGTCCCTCCTACGCAGCAGGCTCTCTCCCGCCTCACCCTCCCTCCCCGTCTCCGGCCTCCCTGTCCTGCGACTTCTCTCTTTCTCCCAGTTCAGCCTCCGAGGAGAAAGCTGACAGTCAGAAACCCAGGGAAGGGAAGCGCCGTGGTTCCCGCGAGGGCGGGAAGTGGGCTCGGCGCTCCCGGGGGCCCTGGGCTTCACCCGCACACCACGGGCAAGGAGATGGGTTTAAAGCCTGCTCGCCCAGCCTGGCACAGTGGCACACACGGTCAGCCCGGCACTCTGGGGGGCTGAGGTGCGAGGGCCACAAGTTCGAGCCCGCCTGGGCAGCTAGCAGCTCGGTGAGCTCCAGGCTCAAAACTTTCAAAACCGTTTAAAAGGTGGGAGGGGCCTCGGGTGCCGCTCAGTGTGCCGCCTGGGTCTAGTCCCCCTCGGAAGAGGCGCAGCCCGCTGTGCCCCGCAGGGCCGCGAGCGGAGAGAAGCGCGCTCCGAGGCTTCTCCTTAGGTCGCCTCACCCTCGTGGAGGGTGGACGGTGGCGTTTCGCTGGGAACCCTGGGAACCCCGTGGCAAGCAGCGCTGGGCCTTGAGACCTCAGAAGAGGAGAGGTGTGGCCGTGCCGCCCTCACACCCCCAGTCTGAGCGATCTTCACCCCACAGCTGGCTCCTCAGCAGCTCGGCCCCACGGGCGCTGCTGGCAAAACATGGAAGCGGGGCAGATTCCACTCACGCATCCAAAGAGGAGCCCCGCACCTGGAGCCTCCTAAGGGACCTGCACGGGGACTGCACTTCTTGTGCTCTGGCCTGGGGGCAGCCAGCCTTCACGGCTTGGCCGCAGAGCGAGTACTTGGGAGATGACAGGGCTGGGACAAAGGACCTCGGCAGAAGGACACCATGAAAGCTGTAATCTCAGTTCCTGGGAGACTGAGACAGGAGGATTGCCATGAGTTCAAGTTCAGCCTGGACTACATAGAGAGACCCTGTCTCAAAAGGAAAAGAAGGCGCCATGTATTCACAGCGGCAGCAGAGGAGTCCTGAATCAGACCGCAGGGGCCAGAGCCGACTGCTGCTTGGCAAAGAAGCTGCATGTGGAATTCAAACGCCACCGGGGGGAGATGAACGTGCACTCTGACTGACCCAGGGCCCACAGCTGCCTCCCCTCACCTGGGGCTCCTCACAGCCCGGCCCGGGGCCGGTGACCTGCGTCTCTGCTGCTCGCTCTGGGTACTAAGACCTGGATTTGTGCGGTTCCCCCTGCCAGGGTGCGTCGGCTGGCTCGCCTCTGTGAGGACAGACAGGAGTGGCCCGGGTTGAGCCCTCCTGGGGGCCGGATGCCAGCCGGGCCCGCGGGGTGGCCGCGTCTGAAGCCCTGCTTACGGAGCCCTGGTGCTGGGAGTCGCTACCCCCTCTTGCCCGCCTCCCCCAACGGCAGGAGAAAGCCTGTGAACGCAGTCCTCCCCCCCAGCGGGGCTGCCGCGGCTCGGCCACACCACACGGCCAGCCGTCACCCGCACGGAGGGCTTTACCCCTCGCTGTCCCCTCTGGCTCCAGATGCTGCAGCAGACGCAAGTGCTTCCTCCCCTTTCAGTGGGCGGGGACGGAAGCTGGGAGAACTGCATGGCTCAGAGGCAGTCACCGAGTGGGCAGCAGAGGCCACGGGTCAGGTCTCAAGCCGGGCAGGGGCGGGGGCAGGACGGGGGACAGTTGACCGCAGCTCAGCAGGCTCTCTCCCCATGTGTCCAACCCTCCGCAGGGGCCTCAGATGCTGCGCCATGAGGAGGGACAACCAGAGCCTCCCGGAGCGGCGCCCCGAGGACTTCATCCTGCTGGGCGTCTCCGACCGCCCGTGGCTGGAGCTGCCCCTCTTCGCGGTGCTCCTGGTGTCCTACGTCCTGGCCATGCTGGGGAACATCTCCATCATCCTGGTGTCCCGGCTGGACCCCCGCCTCGGCAGCCCCATGTACGTCTTCCTCAGCCACCTGTCCTTCCTGGACCTCTGCTACACCACCACCACGGTGCCGCAGATACTAGTCAACACGGGCACGGCCCGCAAGACCATCAGCTTCGGCGGCTGCTCCGTGCAGTACGCCGTCTTCCACTGGCTGGGCTGCACGGAGTGCGTGGTGCTGGCCGCCATGGCCCTGGACCGCTACGTGGCCATCTGCCAGCCCCTGCGCTACGCCCTCATCATGCACGGCGCGCTCTGCCGGCGCCTGGTGGCCCTGGCCTGGCTCAGCGGCTTCGGCAACTCCCTGGTGCAGGTGGCGCTGACGGTGCGGCTGCCCTTCTGCGGGCGGCGGGTGCTGAACAACTTCTTCTGTGAGGTGCCGGCCATGATCAAGCTGTCCTGTGCGGACACCACCCTGAACGACGCCACGCTGGCGGTGCTGGTGGCCTTCTTCGTGCTGGTGCCCCTGGCCCTCATCCTGCTGTCCTACGGCCTCATCGCCCGCGCCGTGCTCAGGGTCCGGGCCTCCTCGGGCCGGCACAAGGCCCTGGGGACCTGCTCGTCCCACCTGGCCGTGGTGTCCCTCTTCTACCTGCCCGCCATCTACATGTACCTGCAGCCCCCCTCCCGCTACTCGCAGGAGCAGGGCAAGTTCGTGTCCCTGTTCTACTCCATCATCACCCCCACGCTCAACCCCTTCATCTACACGCTGAGGAACAAGGACGTGAAGGGCGCCCTCTGGAGGCTCCTGGCCCAGACCTGCAGGCCGTGCGGGGTCTGAGCGTCCCGCTGTGGCCCTCATCGCCATGGATATCTCACAGGGAGTGTGTGTTCCACAGCACTGGCACCAGGGAGTTCCCAGCCACACAGTAAGGACCTGGGGAGCTGGGGGCCCCAAATCCCCACCTCTCTCTCCCAAGAGCCCACCGCGCCCAAAAGCCCCGTCTACACATAAGGTCGGTCCCAAGGGCGTGACGCTGAGACCCGGTGTCCTCAAGAACTGCCCAAACGGCGCTGCTGACCTCACTCCCCTGCCCGTTCCCCCCTCCCCTCCTCCTGGGTTCTGCTTTCCTCCCACCTCTCCGTCTCCCAGCTTCTTTCCCCCTCCCCGGCACTCCCAGCGTGTGCCGCTGAAACGAAGCGAAGCGTGTCTTCTTGTAATAAATAGGTGTCCTTGGGGTTAAATCTCCATAAGGTCCATACAACCTTTTCAAGATAGGACAAGAAGGAAGGGTTGCTTTCTTCCTTTCTGACATGGCTGGTGGTCTTCTCTCTCAGTTCCCTTCTGTGGAAAGGTTTTCCACCATGACTGGGCTGTAGGGCTGTTAAATTCACCCAAAGGGGACTCTGCCAGGTCCCGTGGTACAAATTAATGTAGTGTACTCTCTTATCTTAGAAAAGGTAGTGTAGGGGCTGGGGATTTAGCTCAGCGGCACAGCGCCTGCCTGGCAAGCGCAAGATCGTGAGTTCAATTCCTGGTACCAGAGAAAAACCAAAAACCAAAAAAAAAGAAATTAAAAAAGATAGTGTAAGTACAATTAATATTAAGGACAATAAAAATGTCTAATAAAAAGTCCAAGGGCTGGAGTGTAGCTAGGGCAGGGCCTTCTCTCAGCAGTGGGAAGCCCAGGGTGCCATCCCCAGCACCACACACACACACACACACACACATGTGCACACACCGTTCAAGGTAACCATGACAGCTATTTGTAGGTGGCTTCCAAGATGCCAGCAACACAGAAGTGTACTCATGCACACAGACTTGTTTAATATGTACAGAGCCGCACGGTGTACCCCTGACAGCTCCCAGCTTGTGTGAGAACTGCACTGTCACGGCCTGCACTAGCTTGCCCAGGGTTTCGTCCCCCTGGGGGCTGAGGGAGCTGAGGTTCTACCACAGCCCATGCCAGTGCCTGCCTTAGAAGACGGAGCCAGGACTCCAGCACCTTGCGTTTGCATTTCCTGCCCCGGTGTTATGGCTTCATTTCCATCTGTTTTGAATGCTCCTTCCTGCGTTGGACATGCCAAACTATAACAGAACTAACCTGGAAGATCACAATAAACATACAAAAGTCAAGAAAAGAGAAAAACAGAGGAAGACTTTCTAGTGGTAAAGGGAAAAAGAAATATAAATCACAGTGCTATAAGATTATTTAAGAAATATGAAAAATAATTACTGCCCAGATACCAAGGCCACAGAGGGATTTTTCCTGACGGTCATGCAAGGTGCCCACAATTTCCTGTCTGGAGAGACGGGGCAATGGGCCTCAGCTTTGCAGCTCGATAAAGCGTGACAAGGTCAGGGAGGGGCAGCACGACACAGGAGATGCAGGGAGCTGAGGAGATGCCGCAGCAGAGATGCGCTGGCTTAAGGATGGGCTCAGATTCCCGGCCATCCTTGCAGTGAGAGATAGACTGGTTTCCCTCCTGTCAAGTGAGGACCAAGTGACTCCCCTGACCGTGGGATGCAGTGGAAGAAGCCGTGAGGTGTGCGGTGCTGCAGACCTGGGATGCCAGCACTTTTGGAGGCTGAGGCAGGAAGATTCTAAGTTTAATACCAACTTGGGCAACTTTGTGACTTACTGAGACCCTGGCTCAAAATAAAAACTAAAGAGGCTCTGGGTTAAGCCTTAGCACCCAGAAAATAAAAACAGGACCAGTGAAAGAAATTCCAGGTCTCTCACACTGGTAGGTGAGAACCCTGCACTCCCCATGAGTCACACTCTGCCTGCTGAGGCACCAGGACAGACTGGCAGGGCGGGAAGGCCCCACAGGCTGCCCTGGACCTGCCCACTGAATGCCGGCCAGTGGCCTCCCGGACGCCGCAAGGAGCCAGCCACGGCCGCACACGGGAAAGTGCAATGACGCTTGTTCTCAGCACATGGCGCCGGGGGCACAAGGACCCGGGACACTCAGCCCGGAGCTACGAGGTCCTGGAAGGGAGACACAGAGCGTTCTGCAGAAGCCCCGATGCCTGGCAGAGCTGGAGGAGGGACACTTGAATAATTAACACATGAGAAGACAGAGCGTGTTCACAGGACAAGCCAACAGGCGGCGGAGAGAAGCATGCAGATGCGTTTTTATAGTGAGACACAAGACCTGAAATGTTTTGTATGCTTTTGGCGACACACTGTGGATACCTGGGACCACTGCAGATCTCCACTGCTGCAGGGGACCCGAGGTACCCTGGAAAGACGTGGGGGGCGAGCCTGAAACAGGACCCCACAAGCCCCACTAGGTCAGAACCTGTGCCGGAGTCAGCACAGACCCGCCCCCCACGGGGAAGGAGCCCGGGACAGGACGCCCTCCAGGCTGCCTGCTGCCGCCGAGTCCCAGAGGCCGGAGAGGGCAGTTTCTGCTGCTGTGCCATTGCTGTGTTGCTTCGTTCTCAAAGGTGTGGGCACCAGCACAAAGTCAGGGAAGATGGAGAAATGGGCAAACGGCCCAATCACAGGGAAAATAGACTTCCCAGGTATCATCAGTGAAGGGAGATCTATGAGTCATCTGACAAATTGTCTCAAAATAGTCAATATCAAGGGATGATGCATGAACAAAATGAGAGTTTTTTTTTTAAAAAAGATACAGAAAATATAAAAAAGAATGAAATAAGTTTGGGAACAAAAGAATGTGATTACTTAATGAAAAATTCATTAGAGGGGTCCAGAAGAAGACTGGATCAAACAAAGGAAAGACTTAACAAACTTGAAGTCAAAGGCATTAGAACTCAAACAATGAGAAGAATGAGGATTAAAAAGAAAGAAAAAGCCTAAGGTACCTACGGGACACCACACGATGACCACGGCACGTGTTATAAAACTACAAGAAAAGCAGAAAAAGAGAACATGCCAGGGGCACGTACCCAGGAAGTAGCCCATAATTTCCCAAAACTGGAGCAAGAAGTACACTAGAGTCCAAAATTGCAGTGAAACTCTCTGCCACGAAGCCCAAAATGGCTACATCTAGACCTGATATCTCAGGGTTGGAAGGCACAGGCAAAGGATTGTGCAAGAAGCTAAAGGAAAGGGACCCACTGTGCTCAAAGGCCCCCACGTGAAGCTTCGGACGGATTTCCCAGCAGACACTGCAGGCCAGAAGGAGTTGTGCAATGCACTCCAAGTGCTGAGAGGAATCCCAGATCAGACAAAATTGTCCTTGGAAATGAATGAAAGGTAAAGATTTTCCCGACGGGGCGCGGTGGCACACTCCTGTAATCCCAGCACTCGGGAGGCTGAGGCAGGATGATCACTGTGAGTTCGAGGCCAGCCTGAACCACATAATGAGACCCTATCTCGAAAAGACCCCCAAAAAAGCCCTTCCCACATGAAAGGAAAACCAGTGAGGGTTCACCACCACGAGAGCAGCCTTCCAGGAAACAGCAGAGGGATGCTTGAAGCTGAAAGAAAATGAAGGCTACCCAGCAACCCAGGAAGCACGCACAGGGAAAGAGGTGAACAAATAGAAAATACGGAACACAGCACAATTCAGGGGTGGTATACGGACCACTGTGAATTCTCGAGAGACGCTACAGAACAAAAGGACAAAAACTATAACTCCAGAACATGGAGATGAATAAGCAATGTTAAAAATGATTCATGACATCAAAACGTAAAATGTTGGGACAGAATTATAGTGCAAAACTGGCATGCAGGTCAGCTTCTGTCCCCTTTAAAACAGATTGTTATCACTAAGAGAAGGGTTATATAATTCCCGCCAGAAGTGCAAAGAAAACACCTCGGACAGTACCTTAGAAAAAGGAGGGATTGGGTGCGTGTCGGTGTTGGTGTAATAAATAAATAAAACATAAAAGAGGGAGTGGCACACAGAGCTTCCAGATGGAAACAGGACAACCGCCAGGGTCCCTCCCACCTCTGCGGTCAGGGGAAACGGGCCGAAGGGACAGATCACACCTGGAGCTGCAGCGGGCAAGGCCGGCCAAGGCCGTCTGCGGAGACTCGCGTAGGATAAGGACACAGGCTGCAGGGGAAGCAAGGAGGCGGGGTGCCACGTTCAAGTCAGAACACATCCACTTAAGTGAAACCTACCACAAGAGACAAAGAAACACACTATAGAGCAGCAAAATGCTCAGTTCATCAAAAATTACACACACGCATGCAATACCAGGGCCCTGAAACCCGGGAGGCGGCAGCTGTGGACAGAATGGGGAGAGGAACCGGCAGTGATGGTCTTAGGTGTCTCGGAGCCCGGTGTTCAGCCAAGGGTAGGGCATCTGACCGAGGGCCTGCAAGGAAAGAGGCCGCTGCAGACCGCTGGACATCACGCGGGTCTCACAAGGACAAACCCTGCACTCCGCGGCCTCACAGAATATTCTCAAGTGGCACAGAATATTTTCCAAGACAGGCCATGCTGAGTCAGTCACAAAACAAGGGTCAGCAAGTTATGGAAGACTTTCCAAGGACCTTTCCTGACTACAGAGGAATAAAACTAGGAGTAAATAAAGGGGGAAGTCCAGCCAGAGCAATTAGGCAAGAGAAAGAAGCAAAAGACATCCACAAAGGGAAGCAGAAAGTTACACTGCCTCTTTGTAAATGATGAGATCCTGTACACACAAAACCCTAAGAATCACACACACACACACACACACACACACACACAAACTGTTAGGATTAATACATGAATTCAGGGACATCATAGGACACAAAATCAACACACATAAACTATGTACATATCCATACATAACAATGAAGTATTTGAAAGGAAAATGAGGGATCAGTCTCCTATACAACACCATTAAAAGAATAAATTCTTTACAGACAAATGGACACAGGTGAGAGACAGACTGAAAACTATAAAATATTGACTAAAGAAATTGAGACACAAATCCAAAGGCATCCACATTTATGCACTGGGAGAATGAATACCTGCTACCCAACATCATCTGCAGATTCAGTGTGATCTGTATGAAAATGCCGGTGATGTGCTTAACCTACATAGAAAAAATATTTCTAAACTTCATATGGAACCACGACGTGTTCAGAATAGACAAAGCAGTCTCAAGGAAACAGGACAAAGCTACAGGCATAACAGTAGCTTTAAAATGTACTACAAAGCTATTACAGTCATCAAAATAAGGTGTTCCTGGCACCACACACACACACACACACACACACACACACACACTACAGAAAGACCAGCTCCCCGGGGCAAATGTGGTCAGTACGTACTGCAAACACACTGATAGAAACAAAATTTACGAAAGACAACCTAGGGGTTACAGCGAGGCCTCTCTGGCAGACAGAGAGGATCAGACAGTGGAGCTGGGCAGAGGCCCGACTTCCCTAGCTTTGAGTTTGGAAGACAACAGGAAGAAAATCCCTGCCACCAGCCTCTTCTGCGATCAGCGTGGACATGTAAATGACTTCCGTACAACAGAGTCTACCTGTGCGGCAGAGCTTTATGGTCTCTGTCACTGCTTTATATTCACCTTACATTAAATCATTTCCCAGAAAACAGCAGCTCTGTTTAATGTGCCAAGGATGAGCCCAGGGCCCTGAACACCACAGATCTCAAACGCAGCTGCGTCCTGCTGGCCACACAGAACACGCGGCCCCAGAGGGGCTTCCGCTACAGGCCGAGCTTCTAGGCTCTGTCGCACCCACCTGCCCAGAGACCTGCAGCATCACCACAGGAGGGCGACTGCAAGGGCGCTCAGGCAGAGCACAGTGCTGGGAATTAGCCTGGAGCCCCGGCTTGGTGCCCAGCACTGAGGGGTGGGGAGGAGACACCAGCCGCCCTGTCGCCGTGCCCAGCCCCACGCTGAGCAGCACCACCACCCGTGCAGACTCAGGGAGGGAAGGAAGCTGCCGCAGCCTCCAGGGAGAACCCACCAGCGGGGCTGGTTCTGCAGCAGAACTTTCGCCCCACACAGTGGATAGCAGCTCCGAGCGTTATGCCATGAGCTGGGCTTCGAGGCTCCGGCAGCCCGGCTGTGCAGAAACACAGAAAGTGAGATGCAGACCCAACAAGCAGGCCGCAGTGGCGCTGGACAGAGCTTTGGTGGGGCCTGGGCTGAGGCCGGCTGCAAGCAGAGGCTGAGAACCCACCCCTCAGGTGCCCAGCACAAGGGCTCCTTCAGGGACGGGCGCTGCCCAGCACAGCCCAGGCTGCAGGGGAGGCCGGCCAGGACACACCGCGAGGAACCGCCAAGGAAGCGTCACGCGCTGCCCACGGCCCAGGTGGGCACGGCCAGCTCCCCTCTCCACCCGCGTGTCCCATCCCACCGGCAGCCCTGGGAGGAGCTGAGACCAGCGGTGGACAGCGGGTGACGGAGCGCTCGGCCGGGTGCTGGGGCTGGGCGGTTGCTTCCCCAAGGCCTGTGTGCAGAGGTCTGATGAGGGGCTGAGGGGACCCTCGGGAGGTGAGGCCCAGCAGGGCATCCCCAGGTCCCCTTTGGACTCTGAGCCCCGAACCTCTGTTCCCGAGCCCCTGCCCAGTGTTCTGCAGGGCAAGCCGGGCAGTCGGACCCCTGGAGAGAAGCGGGTTCGCGGACAGGGCGGGAGCTCAGCCTGCGGTGCTCCCTGACCGAGGCTAAAGCAGAGGACCGGCGCTGCCCAGGGGAACCGCGGAACTGAGAGCCGGCTGGGGACACAGCCTCCCGCCCGCTCCACGGCGCCCCGGGAGATCCTGTCCCAGAGAAGCCGACTGCTCAAAGGGCCCGAGACCCCGGGTCCCCCTGCTCTCGCCCCCAGCAGGAGGAAGTAGGCACCAGGAAGGCCCTCGCCAGGCAGCAGGCGATGACACCGGGGAGGGGCGTGGGGCAGCCGGGGGTGGGGGCAGCTGGGGGGACAGCTGGGGAGGGGACAGCTCAGTGGGGGCCAGCTCGGAGGGGGGCCAGCTCAGGGGGGACAGTTCGGGGGAGACATCTCAGGGGGGACAGTTCGGGGGAAACATCTCAGGGGGGCCAGCTCGGGAGGACAGTTCCGGGGGGACAGTTCGAGGGGACAGCTCAGGGGGACAGCTCGGGGGGCAGCTCAGGATTGGAGCAGCTCGGCGAGGTGCAGGGCGGCCTGTGAGGCGGAGGCAGAGATCTCGGACAGCAGGCGGGGAGGACGGTGACCGGGCTGCTGACCCTGGGGCGACCGCGAGCTGCTGGAAGGGACGGAAGGCAAAGCGCGGGCCGGGCAAGGAATGGGCTCCACAGGGCACGGACGGCTGGAGTCTCACAGCACTGTCCCTGGGTGCCAGGGAACCCCGTCATGAGATCAGTCACACCCCCCAGACTGCCTCTGTCCCCACCCCCCAGCAGAACCAACACCCTCCCTGGGTCCACTCCCTGGGGGCACTGCCCCTCCTCCGTGTGTCCACCCAGCAAGAGCTGCCCCCACAGCTCAGCCAGGCCCCCACCCCACTCCCGTGAGCCCCAGGACCCGCTGCAGCAGGAAGAGGGCGCAGGTCTCTGTCCTGTGACCCCAGCTACGGCCCGTGGAGCCCTGCAACAACCCCAGCTATCCATGGCAGCGGTGCTCACACACGCAGGTCGCCGTCCCCAGGGCACAGGGCTGCAGCGCCACATGTGCAGCTCACGACTCAGCCGCAGCAGGGGCCTGGGGACCCACGCAGGTGACCCATGAGGAAGACACAGCTCCCAGCAGAGCAGCTCACCTGCTGAGTGGGAATTCTCCGGGCTTCTCTGGGCCTTCCAGACGGGCTGAGGGTGGCTGTGAGGAGGCAGGGTCCGCTCTGCAGGGGCAGTCAGTGGGTGCAGCCTGGAAGGGTGCCTCTCCCCCCCTGGCTGCCCCTTGACCTCACCACTTCCCGTCTGCCCTGCAGTGGGCAGCTCTCCTCCGCCAGGCCGCTCTGCGGTGCCGTCCTGCTGTGGAGCCGGCCGACCGTGGACTAAGGGTGAGGCCAAGCCGACCTCTCCTCCTCGCAGTCCTGGGTGCTGGGTATTTATCCCAGCAATGAGGGAAGTAGACTCCGTAGCAGTTTAGGTAAATGATGTAAAAGGTTTCAAGGCCCATTTTTTTAAACTAAGAAAACAAGAGGCTGGGGATTTAGCTCAGAGTCACAGTGCCTGCCCGGGAAGAGCAAGGTTGTGAGTTCAATTCCCAGTACCAGAAAAAAAGAAAAAAAAAAAAACAAAAACAAAAAGAAAGAAAACAATTTAACTTGATCAATACCAGCAAGTGTTTTTATATATTTCTTAATTTTCAGTGAGCTAAAATAAGCATGAAGTGTTTTATTAGAAAACATAATTGTTACAGCAATAAATAAGTAGCTGCCACAAAACTGCAACACAGCACAGGGTCCAGGACTGTGCTGCAGTCAGTTAACCGAGCCGGGAACGGTGATGGGGACAAAGTGGAATAAATAAGGGGAAGCCAGGGAGAGCGGCCTGCGGGGAGGGAGGGCAGGGGCAGGGCCTCCCGCCAAGTCGGCTGCAGAGGTCCTGCCGAGCAGGTGCCCTGGGACAGCATCTCGGGTGAGCACTCTTCCTGCCATCTCCACCCAGGGTGGGCCAGAGCCGCCGGGTCCCCACCCCTGTGGGGGCATCAGAAGCGTCTGCCCCCGACCCGGCAGGGCCAGCAGCACTGCAGAGCTGTCAGAGGCGGGCTGGGGGTCCCGCTCCTCCCCTACCACGAAGGCTCGAAGACCAGGGTCAGCTCAGGCTTCTCCTCCCGCAGTGTTTCCAGAGCACGCCGGGTCTCGTAGTTGAAATACATTTCATTCAAGCTAGAAACGCAGAAAGAGCTGGGTTACACTCTTCAGAAAGCTCCGAGTTTTGAGTCTTAAAATCTCATCTCATTTCCCTTAGCCCTACCCACCTCTGAGCTCTAAAACGCTATTTCATAGCCAGTGTGGTTTCTGAGGTTGGTTGGTTTGTTTTTGAGACAGAGTCTCACTGTGTTGTCCAGACTGGCCTCAAATGTCTGGGCTCAAGCCGTCCTCCTGCTTCAGCCTCCCAAATTGCTGGGACTATAGGCATGTGCCACTATGCCCAGATCATTATGTTTTGAACCAGCCGTTTCCATAGAAGCCACCGGAAAGAACCTGCCACAGTGGCTGTGCCCTTGACCAGCCTGCATGGGAGGACCCCGACACCCAGGGGTGCGGCTGGTTGACCCTGGCCCAAGTCCCCCTCCCGCTACCTGCACACTCACTGCAGGCTCTGCAGGACGCAGGCCCCCTGCCTCAGGACCTCACAGAGCATCATGACGCCCAGGTCGCCTAGGTCGTTGTTGCTGAGGCTCAGCTTCCGCAGGCTCCGGCTGGAGGTCACAACCGTGGAGAGGTCCCAGCAGCTGTGTGAGGTGAGGCTGCAGTTGTCCAACCTGCAGAAAACATGCTCTTAGCCAGCCGCACATGCCCAGACCCAAGGCTGTGTGCTGCGACGACAGGAAAATCATGGCATTAGCCAGGCGCTTTCCTGTAATCCCGGCACTCAGGAGGCTGAGGCTGGAGGACTGCCGCTAGCTCCAGGCCAGCCTGGACTACACAGAAAAATTCTGTCTCAAGAAAAAAAAAAAAATCAAGCAAGAGAAAAATCACAGGCTCAACTAGCTGCATATGACCTTATGCCGATATTATTTTCCTCTCCTCTTCAGATATGGGTCCCTTTTTCAAGTCTGCTGCATCATGCAGGTCAAATTAGGAACAGAAGGTTGTTCATTGATTGCTCCCAAATGCTTTCCCCAAATTTCCATAAACACCTTCCCACCTTCTCCCTCCTTGATGGTGGCAGGAAGAACTCAGCCTCTGACCTGTCCAACACCTACAAGCTCCTCCTGCTCCCCCGACCCCTAGCTGGCCCCACGGCAGGATGAAGCCCCTTCCGGCACAGAGCATGTCCTGGCGGCTGCCGCCGCTGTCCCTGCCCACCTGTGCCCTGGCCTCAGGAGCAGGGACTCACTCCAGCATCTGAAGCTTGCAGCTGGGGTGCAGGAGCCCCTCACAGAGCAGCTTGAGCCCTGCGTTGCCAAGCGCGTTGCCCCGCAGGTACAGGTGTGTGAGGCTCCGAGTGGTCTTGAGCACCGAGGCCAGTGCTGAGCAACCCACGGACGTGAGGCCAGAGTTCACCAAGCTGAGGAGAGAGCAGAGGGGAGGCCAGGCGTGGTGGGGCACGCTTGTACTCCCAGTACCCAGGAGGCTGAGGCAGGTGGATCCCTGCAAGTTCAATGCCGGTTTGGGCTACGTAGTGAGTTTAGGACCAGCCTGACCCTGTCTCAAAAAAATAAAAATAAAGAGCAAGAGGCATTTTCGGCGTGCAGGCTCCCCTCACCCCCAGTGCTGTGCAGCTCCCAGCACAGGCCTCCTCAGCGGAGCAACTGCACCCTTGAACTCAGAGGCCGGAGCAGCATCTTGGGCCCAAGGGGGCTGCAGCTCGGAGTCTGAGTCCCTCTGCAGAGACACAGGACGGTGGCAGCAGTCGCCCCACTGGGATTCGCACATGGAAAGAGCAAGGAGACCCCAGTCCTCACACTCCTCCTCCCCGTGCACAGATCCCATCCGGCCCTGGGTGCCACTCGGCCTCTCCCTCCTGGCTCCAGGACCAACCTAGAGAGGCAGCGGGGCTGCTACATCACGCCTTCCGCGGCTCGGAAACCTGAGGCTTGTGGGACCCTGTGTTCTCGAAGACAAAGCACAGGCACGTGCGGAGATTTTGCCCCTTCACCCTCCAGAAATTGAATACGTCTCGAAACGGAGCCGGCGATGTGGTGGGAGCCAGGGCCAGGCGGGGACGGCAACTCCACCTTCAGAAGGCGACCTTATGTGCACATGGTCACAACAATTTGGTGCCCCAAACCCAGCAGGACCAGACTCCTTATCAGAGCGGGGACTCCCACACAGTGAAACACAGGCCCAGGAGCACGCACAAGGACGAGGGCAGCAGCCAGGGTGGGGCAGCCCCAGGCTAAGCCGCCACAGCCTGCTGTAGACCACCGGGCACTGGAAGATGGCCAGGAGCACAGCCTCCTCTCTGCAGGAGCCAGTGTGCCCAAACTCGAGTCCCAGACTGCAGCCCTGGAGGTGTGAACATGTGACTGTTATTAAGCCACAGTGTCCATGGAGCTTTGTTAGAGCCCTAACAAACTAATATGTCAAGTGTCAGGGTGAATGGCTGGGTGAGTAGACTGGTGGACAGATGGATGGATGGGCAGATGGATGGTGGGTAGGTGGGTAGACTGGTGGGTGGATGGATGGTGGATTTGTGG